GGAGGGACTGTACTTCCACGTCCTGCCACACATGCTACCACACCTACTGCTGCAGTATGCTGTGGGTTCTGCATGCACTGCCTTCTCACTGTACCTGGACATGTCACTGCCCTCCCAGAAGCTTTTTCTAAGGCAAAGGGCGTGGATGCGGTTCCATTGCCGTGGCAATGCCCACACTTTGTCAGCCTCTCGCGAGAGCTGCCCAGCTGCTCTGCTTTCTCAGGGTTCCCCTGGCAAAGGAACCTCCTGAAACCCCACTGTACCTTGTGATCTATCGCTGCAGTTCTGGCCAGCACAGTTCTGAAGCAGCTAACCTCAGTGATTAAGACTACACTTCTCTAGACAACACTACCTATATACAGGTCAACAGTACTGGATGTGCCAGTAAAAGAAAAACTGTTGTTTAGTGCAAATTTCAGCTGCAGCCCTTCCATAGCAGCTCACCAGAAAACAACATTCTGCAATGACAGTGACACTTAGGGGGCATATATGCATCACGCTCTGGAATTCTTGACCTAATGTATAGACATTCTGTGCTGCAGATTTTTATGTTATTTTCCATAATCCTGTAACAGCCAACATGCAGATCTAAAAGCCACTTGTATGACTGTGAAATTTCTCTTGTATTAAATTTTTAATGTATGTTTGTATTCCATGCAATTTCAGCTTACTGTTGAGCTTATCATCAGAGGTCAGGAAGACATTAACTTCATTTCCATCTTCATGTAAGTTCTCTATCATTTTTTAAGTTTCATCTTTATCATTTTTAAGTGTCTCTTTCCCCAGAAGAGGAGAAATATGGCTAAATGAACCATGGAACAAGTGGTAATGAAGCGACATCTGTATCAGAGACATGTTTGGGACAGATACATGGGTTAGTCAGCATCAGACATGTGAAAATGTAGATTAGGGCAAAGGAATGGATAACAGTAAAGAATATTTAAAAAAAAAAAAAAAAAAAAAAAAAAAGGCACCTTAGGTTGGATTTCTAAGTTTAAAAGGCATGTCAGCCAGCAAATCTTTGTTTTTAGAGAACTGAGCAACTTGATTAGTCCAAAACTTCAATAAAGATGATAAAATCTGTCTGCTTTTATTCCTTGAAACAAAATGCATTTCCCAACCACTCCTGGCATGACACCAACTTGTGCCAGCTGTGAAAATGGCCAAAGATCACCAGGGGCCAGGTGCAGGATCAGTGTCCCAGCAGTTGATGAACCTCTGTACCCAAGGGCACTGTGGGTCATACAAGATCCTTCTCACCAGCAACAGACAGGGCGAGAAGGCAACACAAAGAAATACTGTGGCTGCAAAGAGGTGCAAATATATCTGAAAAGCCATTATGTGATTTAAGATCTGGACTAGAGTAGCATTCGAGACACCTATTTTCCATGTTTCCATCCAACCTAATCTTTCCTTGCATATGTGCTACCAATATCCATTTTCCCCATTATTATATACTTCTATTTATCTTGTCCTGCTGCTCACAAAGTTGGACCTTTATGTTGCTTTGGAAGAGTCCAGAACTGTGCATTGGTCTTGCAGTAGCTCGTAAAGCCTTTCTACTGTCCTTGTCTTCATATTTTGCCTTTTGATTTTTCTTCCTCTCTCCCACTTTACATTTTTTGCTCTTAATTTCTTTGGCCTAAATATTTCTCTCTCTTCTTCCAGACTGTAGAATCATCAGAGTGAAATGTGTGAATCAAAAAGACTAAAGTAAGTTTAAAACTATGTTAGAGCACAGTTTATTATCTATTCTCATTTTCTAAGTATGGAGAATTATTCTAATATTTTATTTGAAACTGTCAGTAAATGCAGTAGCATAAATTTCTTTAACCAGTGTCATGGAAACACTGAAAGATATAGATGGAAAGGGGTCCCTGGATGTTTCTAGTGCAGCCCAAGATTACAATAAGGTAAACTCCCAAGATGGATCAGATCACTCAGGCTTTTGCTGCAGTGCTTTATCACTTTCATGGGAAGAATTTTTAGTTTATTTCCAACTAAAATTTTTGCAACATGTGATTGTAGTATATTTTACCCTAAATGACTGATAATCTTACTGGATTTTAATATATATTTTCTGTACAGAAATTGTACATTACAAATGGGCAGATCATCTGAAACAAAACGTTTTTCATGGACATTATTATTATCCAATTCATTCTCTTTTTTCTCAAATACGAACTTGCATTACATTTGGAAAACAAATGCCCTTCAAAGACAGCAGAAAGTTTGCTATGCTAGCAAACTGCTCTTTATGACATTGTACTTCATCTTGAGTTCTACCAACCACTTTAGGTTTTTACAAGAGAATAGGTAGTTTCAAGTCAGAAGCAGCATTCATAAAGCTGAGTTTTCTACTTCATCTCTGGGAGTCTGAAAAGTGGCATAGGAAAGCGAGGATTCTCATAGGGCACATTTCTATTTATACTGATCTTGTTTCCAGTATTACGAAAAATTGAAGTGAAAGTCAACAGTACTCCTGGGGGCAAAATACTTCACAAAAAGCTGAATGCCAGCTCTTAAATTACTGAGTATCCCAGAGGAGCCCTTTGAAGGTTGCTGTGTATCTGTTTGCTCTCCAGCTGCTGTCAGGTATCCCTACAGGGGGAAGTGGAAGGCACAGCAATGTGGCCATCCTCATGGTAGAAACCTCTGTGTTAGTTACTAAGGCATAAGCCAGCCCTGTCCTTCCCCACCAGCACACTTCAAGCTTCCAAATGTTCTCACAGTGCAATTTTCAGAGCATCCACTTTACTTCCATTCCTTTTAAAAGCGTAGGTTCCTCAGAGCAGGGATTAGCCTATTTCCATGTTTCAGCACAGCACTTTGGAACACAAATGTTTGTGAAAAGGTAAAATCCACGTTACTATTCTTTTTCCAGCAGAGAGTTTAATATATTTGTTTTAGCCCAGCAGCTTATACTCAACTGCCTGGAATTTTGCTGATACAATGAAAATCTTCTGAAAATGCATAAGAATTTAAGCACGTGGAAGTACTCTTCACTTCTTTGAGATATTAACAAAAAAAAAAAAAGAGAGAGAAATAGGTTCTCAAAACTGACACACGCTAAGAAATGGCCTGAATTTCACCACAGAACTCTTTCTATGTGGCTAAGATCTCAGAAAGAGTTCAGAACACTGTGTAATGATAAGCACAGAAGGGCTTTATCATGTATATGAAATATTGAATGAGAAAAACTGCATTCACAAATAACAAAAAATATATGTGCCTCTTGTGGAAACCTTTGTAACTGCTTCTGAGATATTCACATCCACATTTCTACAGTAGTCAAATGAAAGACAGCAAAAGAAAAAAAAAAAAAAAAAATGCTTATGTTTGATACCAGACAGAAAAAACATAGTGAATAATTTTGACACTAAATAGATACACTTAAAAAAGGAAACGGAAAAGAAAAAAAGGTGTTTTTTTCCTTCTTAGATAGCTTTTAAATTATTATGACAAAATGTTTCAGATGCTACAATCAGTGAAATGTCTGTAGGCTAGATTGCTTCTCAGTAAACACAGTTTTGTCAATCTGCTCAGATTGACCCTTATACGCTTTGGCTGGAGAATGCTGTCATTTACACAGGTGCAAGTTTCTAGATTTACACAGGTGTAATAGAAGAATTTGGCAGAGTTTTGTTAGTTTTACGCTTTAAAATATCAGGTCAGCTGTCATAGTTTTATCAAGTTTTAATATATTTCTGTGCTGATGACACTGCTTCACGGGTGTTGATAGAACAAAGAATTTTGCAGTGTCTAACTAAAGCCTGTAACCTACTAACATCTCTGCCTGAAAGCAGTGAATCCCGGACCACTAGACTTAAAATCTCCAGGCGTCTTCTTAAAAAGCGATTCATTTATTGTTTAGTACTCTTTTCATCATAAATACTCATTTCTGAAACAAACAAGCAAACAGCTAAACACAGCCTACTTTCACAACTATTCCTATCACTGTTGTTTAATCTGTATAGCCAGCATCCCATTAGTACAGTACTTTTATACAATAATCAAAATAGTATTGTTTTAAGTCAGAAAAGTTGTTGATGAAACTTTTGTACATTGACAGGACAAACAAAAAACAGATAAGGTATCTTGGAACAATTTTAACATCACTTTACATTTATTAATTTTCTATTTACTCACACCCCTTTGTAGCTTTTCCAAGCTTGTTTGCTATACCTGAAGCAACAGAAAGGTGCCAGTAGGAATGATTTTAGTTTTGATTCAGATCCTAGATCTTCTTGCCATGCTAATCTGTGTGGCTCAATAAAAGACTGCTAACCAAACATGCAACAAGAGAACTTGCAGATTCTAAGTGTTCTGGAGCTGATCTTCAGCTGTTTGGTCAACTCCAAATTATCTAAGTGATTCAAACAGGAGAAATAAAAGGGAGAGCTTAGCTGGAGTGAGGTGTGTGCACATCAAGTTTCACTTGCTTAAATGAGGCAACACAGATATCAGTCCAACAAACTCACTGCTAAACCCACACCGTAATGAAGGAATCAGACCCAGAACAACTTATTCTCAGATTGTGATGTATCTGTGATTTTTTTTAATTTGTGTTTTTGGCTTTAATTTGCTGTTTTCAAAAAATCAGAATGCAATTTAGAAATGAAGAGGGGAGGCAGAAATCTAAATCTGAGAAGAAGAAGAAAAAAGATACATTTAACAGGTCATTCTCTTCACAGAAATTACAGTGGATTGCTCTTTCTGGATTTAACAGTAGAGGCATGGGAAATTTTCAGATGTCACAAGTTTGCCGATAACACTTGAACATATGATTAGCTTTCGTGAGCTGTCTTTAGAAACCTTATATTTTTTCCCCCTACACCTTGCCCAGAGATCCTACGTGCTTTCCTTCCCCTGAGGTTTTGGAAAACTTAAAATGTTGCTTTGACAAAAATCAAGGATGTGGACAAGTTTTTTTTTCCTGTGTGATGTCACTTCTCCTGCTCTTCATAAGCCCCTGCAAAGAAGGGAACTTATCTGAGGATTCTTGCTCCAGACGCAGACAAACAAGGGAAAGTGAGAAGCAAAAGGAGTATCAAGTTTCAGATACTGAACAGCCACTAAGAGCTGAGAACCATGCCGCACACCAGTCTCTGCAGCTGCCTGGAGTACATGCTGCCTGTGCTCTGTATCCTGAAGGCTGCAGTTGGCTTCCCCAACTCCTCTCCACTGCTAAATCCCAGCCGGCGGAATGGAGATCAGCTGATGCACTTGTACACTTCTACAGAGAGGAACAGCTTCCATCTCCAAATCAATGCTGATGGCCACATCAGTGGTGTTCCTTACCAAACCATTTACAGTAAGTAACTTATTACGGACTCTCTGTCTTCATGGGAGCAGGGGAGGGCTAACTAGAATTTTGCTTTCTCGCTACCTGTAGAAAATTCCATCTTCTTGGGTGGAAAGCAAAGAGAGGAGCAGAGCTATGGAATCAAAAACACAATTATAACACTCATTTTGTTTAAGAAATAATTTTCTTCAAAGAAATATAACAGGTGAGGAATATCTTTGTTGAAGATAACTGAAGTTGTGTGGTTCCTGTGATGCTCTGCAAGTAAAAATTACCTGGATTATCCTTCATTTCATGATTTTACCCACAGTTTCTTGTGGAATTTTTTATTAGTAGTTGATAATGACATATCCCAAAGAGCTACTTTCCACTGCAGTGATAGCATTGCGCTGAAAAAAATCACCATAGCAGTTGTGAAAACCTGATTATGGTAATAAAATATTTTGGGGTGGAGATATTCTAACTACTAAAATTAGCTCATTTTCTTCCAAATGTATCAGTACCACTCTTTATTGAAAATTGGTTTATAAGAGAATCTATAGATATGTGTATTTAATGCAGATGCATGGCAGAAAATCAGTTGTGCATAGAATGTGGGTAATTAAGCATGCAACAGTTGATAAAATGGGGGGAAACTGTGAAAGTCCAGACTGTAATAAATGAAGTGCTAAGCCTTTGGAGTTCATCAGAAGTAATTGTTCCCTTTTGTAACTAGAAGGTTCTATCATAGTTTATTTTCATGGAAAATTCAGGAATTCTTTGCTGGATACCTGCCTGAACATATTAGCTAGTTAAAAAATAAAGAAAGAAATCAATAATTGAAATAAAAATAAAAAGGTGTAGTTTGGCTTGGTTTTGTTGTAAGTCATTTTTTAGGACACAGAGTTCTTAGATAAGACTCCAAAATTACTTATCTTTTAGCAGTAGCTATGCACACAAGTAGCTATGCATCATAAAGTCATTTTTATTACTACTGCATAACATGCCCTTCATCCACACAATTATATTTAATAAGCACATCTTGTGATACTTGTGCAAAATAATATAAGGAACAAAAGACAATTTTAGAAGTTTAATTTATCAAAGAGAAAAAATAATCAACTTCCCCTATTTCTCTTTCAAGGAATTGATGAAACACTTGTAGGAGTTTCTGCTCTGTCTTAGTGTTATTTTTCCTGTATATCTATGGGTTTTATAAAATTTGTTTTTAGGCATGTTGGGCAATAATCAGGGAGATGCAAAAGAGAAAACAGCCAGTAAAAAATCATGTTTTGCCATATCTGTCATGAAAAAAAATCCACATATATTTGAAATGCTCACAGGAGGGGTTGAAATCAAACAGTTAATGAGTTCATGAAAGGGAGGATGACTGAATTTCTGCCAGGTCACCACACTACCACTGCCACTGAGATTCCAGGTAAATAAAAAGTCCAAAGTGCTGCTCAGGCTGGGAGGAGGCTGGATGTGTACAGCCCTCCTGGCTAGAGACTAAGGGTTACAGGGGACACACTCTGTTTAAGAAGATGGCAAGCCATCACCATGATCCACAGATCAAGGAAAATTACTTTTCAGCCTTTACTTAGTACCAATAAACCTGGTCTTGGAGTACTATAAAAAACTCTTTGAGATGGATGTGGCGAAATTGAAACTGTTCTAAAAGAGAGTTTTCAGGATAGTCAGTGGCCTTGAACACAAACAATTTTGGAAAAGGTTGAGGGAGCTAAGCTTATTTAATGTAGTAAAAAGTAGTGTAAAGTGAATATCATAGGGCAGTCATAAAAATGAGGCAATCAAACTCCCTCTGGTCATGGCCAGGGACAGAACATAGGAAAAACTGTCCCGGAGTGGGCTTGGGTCTTCAATTGGGATGTCAGAAAAAAAAATTGTTTGGAATGTTAGTTCAGCACTGGAACAAGGCATCAAGACATGTAGCGGCATCTCCACTCTAGGAACTTTTCAAGGATCAAACAAAGCCACATGAAATGTGATCTAGGGTGCAAATAGTCCTAAATGACATAGAAGATGGGTTCAAATCCATCAATGGACATTTCTAGTCAGTGTGTGGACCAGTAAGGCAAGAGTGTGGTGTCAAATGGGATTCTGGATTTGACATATTTGCTTTCTCAAACAGGTGCCCTAATGATCAAGTCTGAGGGTGCTGGCTATGTTATAATCACAGGTGTGAAGAGTGGACGCTACCTATGCATGGACATGAAAGGAGACATTTTTGGATCGGTGAGTTACTTTTACAGATAACAGGCACAGGCACAGTCTGCTACATACAACCCATTTCCTCAGCTAGGGCAAATCTGTACAACTACAGCAGTAGGATGTAGATTTTGGCAAGCTGAGAACCTGCCACTTAGTTTAAGCTTTCTCTCCTCTTTGATTGTTCTGAATTGTAGAGCTGATAAAGAGCACATCTGAGTTCCTTCTGGAATATATGAAAGCAGAAAGAGATCCAATGAGATCTTGTAATCTTGCTGTGGTATAGATTCACAGTAGCTCAAACAATGTAGCCCTCTGTTGAAAGCAGTGCTAAGTAACACCTCTGTTGAAAATTCCATATTGGATTAACATGAGTTGTCTGAGTTGCAGACCTGGAAGATCGAAAACACCTTCTGCAGGACCTCATCTGTCTTTTCCTCTTTAACTGGTGTTTGTCCTTGACCAAATCCCTTTGTTGACATTTGTCTTTTTTTTTTTTTTTTTCTTCTCTAAGCATTATTTCAGCCAAGAGGATTGCGTGTTCAACCAAAGAACACTGGAAAATGGATATGATGTGTATCAATCTCCCAAGCACCACTTTCTGGTTAGCTTAGGAAGAAGTAAGCAAGTTTTCGTCCCTGGTATGAATCCACCACCGTACTCCCAGTTTTTGTCCAGGAGAAACGAAATCCCTTTGTTTCGATTCAACACACCTGAACCCCACAGAAACACTAGGAGTGCAGATGTTGATCCAATGGATCCTCACCAGATCCTGGTCCCACAGAGAAAGGTCTCTGCATTAGAGTCTCAGCTGCAACTGCAAATGGACTTTTCCCATGTGCCCAGAGAACCCGTGAGAGTCAATCAGAACGATGTGGTCAACCCAGATGACCCACACGCTATGATGGATGCCAGGAGATATGCTAGTCCTCGCTTTTACATTACAAGATAATGACAACCACTTGCATTGATGACATGAATGAATATAACAGACAGAAGTGCCTAAAACACTCAATCTGATTTCTAACCCTCAGGGTGGGCTGCTAGAAACCCGAAGAACATTGAAAAAAAAAAATTATTTCAAATTTTGTCCTTATGCATGACGGTTTACTGAAAAAGGATGTTGCACTCTGCTTTACTGAAAAGACAATCAATTTTCAAAATGTATAATAGAAACTAAATATTTTAAGGTCTGAAATACCCTTAGTATGCCTAAGTGAAAAACAGAATTCACTTGAATGTAATGATGAACTAGTGTTATGTTACTGATGTGTCTGGAAGAAGACTTGAGCCCTCTAGGATTAGAAACTCCAGCAGAGGCAGAGAATCTTCTTACTAGCTCACTTGCAAGCACAGCAGACTAACTGACCAACAGTGTGTTATATCATCACATAAAACTTGCCATATATATTCTTAAGTGTTGAGATTGGAGCTTCGGCCTCTTTTCGTGCCCATAGGAGTCAGAAAGTGACCACTCTGGTGACAAAAAAAGCAGTGCATAAAGAAAACTGGAGTAGCTGACAGGGATCAAATGGCCTTGTGTAGACAGTCATTTCTGACACCTATTGAATCCAAGCTGAGGTTTGAAAAATGAGTATTTGAGTCTCACCGTTCTCTCAAGTTCTCTGTCACATCTCTCTATTCACTTAATTATAGCAACACAATATGGAAATGCAATATAGAAACATTCATTAGTTTTGCATGTTTCTAACCCAGAGGGAAGTACCAGGATCAGTATATGCCAAATAGGCTAGTTTATTTTGCCCAGTGCTCTCCAAGAAAAAAAATCCCCTCAGATTATGCCTCACAGGCAAATTATTAACGGTTAATGCAGACTCACATCTAATGAGTAAAAAATTAAGCATGTATTTAGAAAAGGAGCTTCTACGTTTGACATCAAAGTTTTTATCTAATTCTAAGCAGACATCAGATGCTTAATATCTGTAAGAGTGAAATGACTTCAATATTATCAGATTTCTAAATGTTGACAAAATCTAGGCATCTAGATTGACATTTGTCATGGGTAAGTTAGTTACCAAAATGTAAATTCCATGTATATATTTGAAGTTTACCAATCTTTAAGTAAGATAAGATATTTGCAGAGTTGAGTTTTCTTTCTAATTTAGGTGAAAAATGGTTAAATTTAGTAGAGCTTCACTGGTTTTAATGGAGCTACATAGAGGATTCTGAATATTGTATACATATTTAGCATTTCTTCTCCTTTATCTCATCTGCTTGTAGTCATATATTCCTGGAATTTTAAATATATGTGATTCTGAAAAAGTGCTTGATATACTTCAGCAGAAATCAATAGCATTAGAAATCAACAGATAGAGAAAATTCCAGCATGGCAGATATGTGAAAATATCTTTGTGTTTTTTTTGTGTGTGCACTTTCTTCCATTTTATTTAATACCATATTTAACAGCCTGACACCAGTCTGAAAATGATGTGTTTCATCCAGCTTTTTTTCATAGAAGTAGCACATCATAAGATGTCAGGCTAGATTCTAGTCTTTCTCTTCCTACTATTTAGTGAAGTAATTCACTGAAGCCACTGAAGTCAGAATCATGTTACAATATCAAAAGTAAGGCCCTCTGTTTGTTTTCATGGAAATTGCTGAATATTCACTGCAGAGTCTGTCCTGCTGACAGCATTTTAAATAATCTACACAAACATATATAAATATACACACATAAAATATCTTTTCATCTACAACCTCCAAGTAGTTACTTTAGAATAACCACACTATCTCATTCTGCTGCTATGAAGGTTTTGCCAGATAATGTGGTTCTTAATTCATACAGGATTAGGATTGGATCAAGTGTTATGTCTCACAAATTATTTATTATTATCATGTTTATAATTAGTTTTTTTAAAGAAAGAAGTTATTCTAATGGATTGGGGAATTGCAGGTCAGGGAGATAGCTATGTGTTTTCTTGCTTATTCAAAATACCACAAGAATTTTTACCTTGTTGCCTATACAGTGGGAAGACATGATTTTATGTTCTATTTAATAATTTTATTTAATTCCTTTACCATTGTTGGCTTTCTCTCCTTGAGAACTTTTTACTGCAGTTACAGAAGCAGAATTTTTTTCTGTGCTCCACAGAGTTCTCTAGGACACAAAGTCAACAGACCTACGGAAGTTTGAATCATGAAAAGTTCTGTCTCAATCCATATTAAGCTTTGATGACAAAAATCTCTAAGGTTAAAACTCTATAATACCTCTATCAGTGCATAAGAAGACAAAAAGTGTTGCTCAGAGATTTAATCCTTGTGTGTTGAATGAATGCACAGTAAATTTTGCATCAAAAACACATTTCCAACTATAAAGAACTTTATCAAAAGTGTCAGGAGAATTATTTCTTCAATGGAGATGCTGGCCATCACCAGCTAGTTAGAAAGCATTACTTTTTAAATATTGCAATATTTATTTATTTATTTGAGTGGGTCTTATGTCCTACAGAATATTTATAAATATTTATAACAATGAATTGTGCTGACTATTATAGTGACTATTAAAATAAAAGTACCAATAAATATTTCTTTCTCTAGAAATGGTCGATTTTATGTTGTTCATTTGGGCCTACTGTTCCAGAAGAACTTGCATGAACAAACAGTACTACTTGTTCCTGAAAATGTCTGCCCTACTATCCTCTGTGATTCTCAGCTTTAAAAATTGAGGATTCCTGGCTGTTTCATGCACCACACCTGTGAAAACTAGGTGAAATATGATGAGAAAAACAAAGCCTTAGTAGGTGTAAACAGATTTGGAAGGGATTGTCATATCTACTGGCATCAACAAAATAGCAACGGAAAACTACTGGTTTAGCAGTTCAGTCTTGCTAGGAAAAGTGATTCTGGCTTCAAGGTCTTAGGATTAGGCAAATTACTGTTGCTGCTATTTATTTTACTGCTGTATTCCAACACTATTTGTATTGCTGTACTCAGGCTTTGTTTTGCAGCAGGCACATCATGGATTAAATAAATTGCAGAACATTTCTTTCCCATGGTGGTCCCCAGGCCTACAAAGACCTAACAGAGATCTTCAAAATGACTAAGTGCTCTTGGGTCTGACAGATTATTTCCTTGCAGTGCTCCCTCACCATGGGTAACCTACGATGCTCAGTACAGTACAGTCAGTGTTAATGAAAGCCACCAGTAGCATCTTTCGCATCTTCCATGGTTTCATTACCAAGAGAAACATCATGTTACTAAGTACCACTTAGTACTGCTGCATTTGATGGTATGAAGATAATGGACTTCAGTGGGAGAAATCAGGTAGGTGGGGTTCTCTCTCCTCCAAGATCCCCCTCTCCTCCCATTGCTATAATATTAGATCTGTGACCTTAAAAGGAGGAAGAAGCACAATAGAAATATGCAATATGGATTGAAACATATGCAAAACCTCATAGATGTCAAGGCATTATACAAAAATCAGTATTATCACTTAGTTTCCCGCATTTAAAATCTTGGTACTGACTTGGGAACTTTTAAGCACACTCAAGCTGTGCACAGGGAAATAAAAAGAAGCATGCTGTAGAGCAATCATGCAGCATAGAAGAAACAGACTTGGAGATGCCTGGAATGTGTGGATGACAACTTCTTGACACAGGTAGTAGGGGAATAGACTAGGGATGTGTTGTTTGTTAACATAGAAGATCTGACCTCTTCAATGACCTACTTGGATGCATCCCATGCATTCGAGCATTGGAATGTAGGGGAGCTCAAGACAGCTGCTTGACATTCAAGCACCACTTCTTCCAGTGTCAAGATTGGTGCATCCCTAAGAGTAAGAAATCAGGCAAAGCTGGCAGGAGACCCCACATGGATTCACAAGGAGCTCATTAAAAATCTCAAACAGAAGAAGAAGGTTTAGAAAATGCGGAAAAGGGGTCTGACCAATTGGGATGAGTACAGGAATGTTGTCAGCACATGCAGGGATGCAACAAGGAAAGATAAGGCCCACTCGGAATTAAATCTGGTCAGGGAGGTCAGGGGCAACACCAAAGGCTTCTTAAAGTATGTCAGTAATGTCAGTAGCAAAATGAAGACTAGGAAAAATGTGAGTGCATAGCTGAATGAGGCAGGTACCCTACTAACAGGACACTGAGAAGGCAGAGCTAATGAATGCCTTTTTTCTTTTAAGACTGACCTTTGAGAATCCCAGGCCCTGGAGAGGAGAGAGAAAGTCTGTTGAAAGGAAGACTTCCCCTTGATTGAGGAGGACCTGAACAGACATCATCTAGGTAAACTCAACGCAAAAATTCATGGACCCCAGCAGGATGCAATCGCGACGGCTGAAGGAGCTGGCAGAAGTGATTTCTGAACCACTCTCTATCTAATCTATGAAAGATCATGGAGAATGGAAGAGGTGCCTGGGGACTGGAGGAAAGCCAGATAGCCTCACCTCCACTCCCAGTAAAGCAGATGGAGCAGTTTATTCTGAATGTCATCTCCAAGTTAGTGAAGAAAAGAAGGTTATCAGTAGCAGCCAGCGTGCATTCAACAAGGGAAAAATCATGCTTTACTAAACTGATATCCTCCTATGATGTCATGACCAGCTAGGTATGTGAGGAGAGAGCAGTGGATGTTGCATACCTGGACTTCAGCAAGGCTTTTGACACTGTTTCCCATAACATCATTGTAGGTAAGCTTAGAAAATGAGGGATAGAACAGATAGATTGAGAGCTGGCTGACTGGTAGAGCTCAGAGGGTTGTGATCAGTAGCACAGAGTCCAGTTGGAGGCCTGTAGCTAGAGGTATGCTCCAGGGATTGATGCTGGGTCCAGCCTTGTTCAACATTTTCATCAATGACCTGGATGAAGTGATAAAGAACACCTTCAGAAAGTTTGCTATGATGCAAAGCTGGGGGGGTAGTACCTGACACAACAGAAGGCTGTGCTGCTGTTCAACAAGACCTGGACAGACTAGAGAGTTGAGTAGAGAGGAACCTGATGAGATTCAACAAGAGCAAGTATAAAGTCTTGCATCTGGGGAGGAATAATGCATCAGTACAGGTTAGGAGCTGACAACTGGAGAAGAATTCTGCAGAGAAGGAGCTGGGTATTCTGGTGAACAATAGGTTGGTCATGAGCCAGCAGTGTGCCCTTGTGGCCAGGAAGGCCAATTCTGGGTACGCTAAAAGGAGTGCGGCCAGCAGGTCGAGGGAAGTGATCCTCCTCCTCTGTTCTGTCCTGGTGAGGCTGTATCTGGAATAATGTGTCCAAGTTTGGACTCTCCAGTTCAAATGACAGGGATCTTCTAGAAAGAGGGCGATAGAAGTGATTAAGGGCCTGAAGCATCTCCTGTCTGAGGAAAAATTGAGAGAGCTGGGTCTCTTCAGCCTGAAGAAGATAAGGCTGAGAGAAGGTCGCATCTCTGTCTACAAACATATAAGGCACGGGAGTCAAGATGGTAAAAGTAGGATCTTCAGTGGCGAGCAAACAGTTGAACAAGGAGCAACAGGCAGAAACTGGATTGCAGGAAGTTCCATATTAATGCAGGGAAATACTTCACTGTCAGAGTGGCAGACCACTGGGACAGGCTGCCCAAAGAGGTTGTGTAGTATCTGTCTCTGGAGACATGAAAGACTGACATGGACACCCTCCTGAGTAACCTGCTATTGGGAACCTGATCTAGCAGGGGGAGTTGGACTTGATGATCTCTAGAAATTCTTTCCAACTTCTACAATTCTGTGATCCTGTGATTAGTACAGCACCAAAGGCAAGAGCATGGCTGATACTGGCAAAGGACAATCAAGGAAATCTATACTGTTCCTGTGCTTTTCTAAAAGCAAATATCTTTAAATGAAACAAAACTAAACAAGCAAACAAAAGCAACTAAAACCTTCATCCCTATCTCAGGGCCAAAAAATTGTAGGAAAAAAAAAAAAACAAAAGTCACTTTTTGCTAGAAGTGTCTGTAAATAATGACATTAAAGAATGA